ATAAAATAACATAAAATGTTGAAACAGAGATGAAATGTAATCGGAATGATCGTTGAAATAAAAACAAACCGGTTGGGGGTACAAGATTTGAAGGGAAGATGGAAGGTGAAGCAGGTGGCTGTAAAAGAACAAGAGTAATGAGAAAGAGAAAAAAATTTTAATACCTTAAGACCACGGTAAAAGAAGAGGTTGTACCAGTCTCTTTTGTACACATAATTCTGGTTTTTCAAAATGTATGGCTATTGCCTCGGCAATGCAAAGGAGATGTAGTCTAATTGTCTTAGGAAGGTTTCTACTTACCTTGTAGATGACTTTGAACGCAGAGTCTGTCTTGATTGAGTGACCTGTGTTCACAAGGTGTTCGATTATAGAACTTCTTATTGAGCCGCTGCCTCCTCTTCTTAGCCACGCCGGACAATGTTCTTGAATTCTTTTGGATAAAGTACGCATCGAACGACCTATATACCTAGCTCCACAAGAGCAGGTAAATTGGTAAATGCACATTGAATTGGTCAGATGCGATAATTTATCTTTCAGATTATTGGCGAACAGTGATCGGCTGGAGAATAATATTCGCAATGTTGCTGCGAAAAATGTTCTTTTTAAAGAATCTGAAATTCTCCTCTTTAAGATATATGCGGCTCTATCACCTTTGAAGTCGATGTTCATGTATAAAATTTTCTTTTCTACTGCAGTTGTTTGTGGTCTTGGCATTTTCGGTTTCATGTTCTTATCAATGAATATAGAAGGATATCCGTTTTTGATAAGTATCTCTTTTAAAAAACTCAATTCTTCCTCTACGACCTCAGGGCTACAGATTCTTCGTATTCTTGTGGCGAGAGTTATTATTAAGTTTCTTTTTCGGCTGATGGGAACCCAACTGTGGAAATTTGATAGTTGGCCATTCCACATGGGTTTCCTGTAGATAGATCTTTTTAAAGTACCATCTTGTTTCCTTGTTATATCTACATCAAGGAAGTGAATATTTTGTTTGCTTTCAACTTCAATTGTGAATTTTATTGATGGGTGACAATTATTAAATGTATTTAGGAGATCACTTAAGTTACATTTGTTATCACAAATGATAAAGATATCATCCATATACCTTTTATATAAGTGGAGGTTTTCTATAATTCTTTTAAGTTGGTTGTTTTCTAAACTGGCCATGAAGCAATCTGCCAGTAATGGACCAAGTGGGGATCCCATTGCTATACCATCCTTCTGTCTATAAATTACGTCGTTGAATGTGAACTGTACATTGCAAGTACAACGTAGTAATAATTCCTTCAAATAAACCTCAGGTATCCCAATGTTTATCTCAGTATTGTTTATGTACTTGCAGATAAAATTAATGGTTTCTGTAAGTGGGACATTAGTGAATAATGATTCCACATCCAGAGATAGCATAATTTTGCCACTTACATTCACTTCTTTTATGTGCTCGATAAATTCAAAAGTATCGCGTACAGAATGTTTACAAATGAGTTTTCTAACGGGTTCTAAGAGATTCGCCAACCACTTTGCTATAGGGTGGTAAGGGGATCCAGACATATCGAGAATCGGTCTAAGAGGTAGGCCAGGTTTGTGTATTTTTGGCAAACCGTATAATCGCGGTATTATCGATGCTGTTGGTTTTATGTGCTCAAATACCTGTTCGTTGATTAACTGCTCTTTTTTCATTTTCTTAAGGACGTCAATTAGTTGCTTTTCTATAATTTCAGTCTTGTTTTTCTCATTATTGGGTTTTGAGAATTTGGTGTCATCTGATAATAACGTTGCCGAAAAGAGAACTCTTCGCTGAACTAATCTTTCTTTCTTATTTAATGTCATAATGGGTGTTTTCCGTTTATTAAAAAATTCCAAGGACCCTTCGACAGTAAAGGAACTTAATGAGTTTCTGCGTTTTTCTGTCAAACTTGCGGAAGTGAATGCGAAGATTACCTTTCTTAACGATTGCGTTAAAACGCACAAATATCCTAAATACTACTGGAAAGTTCTTCGAAGAAACCACATTTATCCAAACTCGAAATCTCTTAAACGCCATGCACAAAATGTTATTGACTCTATTCGTCCTCGCATTCCGTTATTGGGACTTAACATTTCACAACGATCTCCTGTATTATATGAATTATCACCTAACGAACACAATCTTTTCACCGATTATGTTACCACAGTTATCAACAAACGCACAAAAAACTTAATATCAGATCTCACTAAAGGTTTAAAAACTACAGAAACACAGCACAACTTTCCTAACAACCCTGAGAGATATGTGTTTAATCATTCTTCAATATCGTTGACAAATGTACAATTAGAAGCCTTATCTTTGGGGATAAAATTCTGCGACATAAATGAAAAAGTTAACAAAATCAACACACATGTTCAATTCGAAAACTTAATCAAACAAACAAATGGTCTTAACCCAATCTCTGATCAAGAATTCCAACGTTTCAAATCTACTCTTCTTGACAGCTGCAACCAACATATTAGCACAAAAGTAACAGGCAAAAGTCTACTAACAAAAGAACATAGAAATCAGATAAAACTACTTAGGACGAAACGGCCGTCCAGTGCTTCCAGGTTTTCAATTGTGGTGGTCTAACATCAATCGGTTCATGATCTCAATCAAAAACTTAATAATCTCAACAACCCCTATACTAGTAATCAACATGTGCTCACTAGTGACTAGCTTCGTGAGGGAATTCTCGGAGTTCTAGTGAGAAGCCGTGACCAGTGGAGCTAATCCTTGTCGGGTAGAGACAGTTATCTACCTCAGTACAACGGAAGTTGGTCGCGCAATTTCGTGGATTGGTTGATGTTAGAAACTATCACCATTGGGTGCCGGCTCAGTGGTCCAGTTGGTTAAACGTTCGCGCGCGAGACCGAAGGCCCTGGGTTCGAGTCCCGCTCGCGGGATCGTGGATGCGCACTGCTGAGGAGTCCCACAATAGGACGAAACGGCCGCCCGGTGCTTCCAGGCTTTCAATTGTGGTGGCCTAACATCAATCGGTTCATGATCTTAATTTTGTATTAAACAATACATTTATTGTCCCCAACAATTCTTCGTTCACTACAGTTATACTAATCAATCGATACTTTCATTTTGAATACTTACTTACTTACGCATAGGCCGTCCAACAGCATTCTCCACCCTACATTGTCCTGGACAATCCTTTCCAGTTCCTTCCAGTTGCTATTTATCCCTTCCATGTCTGTTTCCGATTCCCGACACAGTGTGTTTAACAACCTTCTTCTTTTCCATTCCCCTTCAGGATTCCAAGTTAGTGCTTGGCTCATGATGTAGTTTGGTGATTTTCTCAATGAATGACCTACCCACTTCCAATGTCTTCTTAATTTTCTCTTTAGATGGAAGCTGTTTTGTTCTCTCCCACAGTAGGTTGTTGCTGATGGTATCCGGCCAATGGATGTTGAGTATCTTACGTAGACAGCTATTTATAAATACTTGTACTTTCTTGATTGTGGTTGTTGTAGTTCTACACGTTTCAGCTCCGTACAGTAGAACTGTCTTGACGTTCATATTGAAGATTCTGACTTTGCTATTGGTTGAAAGTTGTTTTGATTTCCATGTGTACTTCAACTGTAGGAATGTGGCCCTTGATTCGTTAATCCTCGACATTACGTCTGCATCTGATCCTCCATGTTCATCGATGATGCTTCCTTTATTTTGGATATTTTTAAATTAATCTTTATATGAATATTTATTCTATGCTTATTCATCTTTCGATTCAACCAATGTAAATCAAGTGCCATTCAATTGTAGTAAATTAGAAAAGTATAAGTACGATCTAATGAACGTTGTTATTTATTAATATTGAAGCTAATTTAAGATGAAATAAACCGATCAATTGCTCAGAAAAGTTGATCCATAAACAAATAATAATTTAATCACGACCTAAATTACAGATGTAAAGGCGAGAATACGCAAAGCAAGGATAGCATTCCTATAACTGAAGAACATATGGAATCCAAAACAACTATCAACCAATATCAAATTCACAATCTTTAATACGAACTTCAAGACGGTTTTATCGTACGGAGCTGAAACTAGGAGAACTATCACAACTATCATCAAAATAGTACAAGTATTTATAAACAATTGTCTACGTAAGATACTGAATATCCGTTTGCCTAATATTATCAGCAACAGTTTATTGTGCGAGAAAACAAAACAGCTTCCATCTAAATAGAAAATTAAGAAAAGATGTTGAAAGTGGATAGGACATACATTAAGGAAATCATCAGGAGGCGAGCGCTAACATGGAATTTTGAATAGAAACGAAAAAGAGGAACACCAAAGAACACACTACGTTGATAATTGAAAGCAGACGTAAACAAGGATGAATAATAACTGAAAAGGATTTTCCAAGACAGAGTTGGATAGACAATGATGATGGGTGGCCTATTCTCTTCCACAAGGAGTAACAGGCGTAAGTAAGTAAGTAAGTCAGTAAATTAAAATGAATTTTCAATTTCATTTTCAACGTCTCAATAAATCACTTATTAATTTACTTTAATTAAATGAATGACATGTCAATATGAAATTGAAAGCAACATTTCTATATTACTAATATCAATGACAAATACATTACAATAAGTTTTTTTGAGTAGTTTTTATACCTTGGTAATATTACCCTAGTTACTAAACATCACTACCACCACCATCACTACCATATGTGTTTAGTTCATTCACTTATAATGTATTTGTATATATATATGTGTGTGTGCACGCGCGCGCGCATGGATATGAAATACACTTTTTATCTTTCAGACAAATGATCATGTGTTATCACATAGAAACAATAAATGAACACATGTGAAACCTTCATTCTATTGATTAGTATCATGAGTCAAAAAAGAAAAGTGTATTCTATTGGTTATTTGAAAATTGTGCAAAACGAATTTAAAGTTGATCATTCAGTTTTCTTTCTTCCTTTTTTTTTAGAAAAAACAAAACAATAAAAAGTTATATTCCTTAAACAATGCAAAAATCTAAAATTACTAATCGATTATGTAGACTACCTGGTCGTTTAGATGGGAAATTAGTTATTGTAACTGGTGCAAATATTGGTTGTGGACTTGAATTAAGCGGTGAATTAGCACGTCGTGGATGTACTGTAATTATGGCATGTCGAGATTTAGAAAGAGGATTTTTAGGAAAAGAAGTTCTACTTGATCGATTTGGTGAAAGAAGTCAAGAGAAATGGAGAAAATCACCAGCTGGTCCAGGAGTTGAACCATTTCTTGATGTTATTAAAACAGCACAGGTAACTTGTATAGAATTTAATTGTTGAAAACAAAATTGATTAGTTATGTAAATGATGTTGGTTAAGTTGAAAATAAATTTAGCGAAGAACTAGAATCAGCTGAAAACTGTTTTTTTTTATTATTTAGTTTTAATATTGGGGAATAATCCGCAGTTAGTGGAGAAGATTGGTAGTTCAAGTGGATGATTTTGATGAAGTTTTGTTCCCTTAGCTGGATGGTTTGATTGTGTAGCTTTCATTGTTGTTTTGAACTGGATTATCAGCACAAATTTTACGTAGAAGTCTACCTGAAGTTTATGCTGATGATGTCATTCGGAAGAACGATGAAAGTTCCATGACCAAACCATCCAACTCAAACAACAAAACTTCATCAAAATAATCCGCAGTATAATAACCACAGGGAAAACATCAACAGATATTGCAACTACTAAAAACGATGTTTCAAGATACCAATCCATTTACTACCACTGTGGATTATAAACATTACCGAATCTCGGCAATAATTACATAGTGTTTCACCAGGATATGTAAAATCCTTCAGAGACAACAGTGAATAAATAGAACGAGATGCCGAACGTATTCAACTAGGAAAAGATTAAATTTTGTAAAACTAGTATTCCACCATAGGTGTCTTCGAAACATTGCTCGTATATCCTGGGACCATCGAGTAAGTAACACAGTTGTTAGGAAACGGGTACTAGGTAAGGATGACAAACAATTAATGAAGTAGTGAAACTTCATCAGTTGAGATGTCTGAGACACGTGTTACATATGACCAACCAATGACTGCCCCGACGTGCGATGTTTTATGGTGTAGAAGAAGGTCGGAAGAAAGCTAGGAGCTACCAGAACAAAACATGGCAGAAGTCCATGAAGTCATTGACAAGTGGACTGAGCCATGTTGGTAGGTGTAGACTACCTGGTTGGGGACCGCGAGACGATAGCAACCGATGGTTAGAGACCCTGAATGACATTGTTCGAAATCGTTTGCAATGGCGCAGGTGCATACACTCTTTGTGTTCTCCCAAATTCTAGTCTTCTGAATTCTTCATGTCCCTCACTTTTTTATCATTCCAAATTTATTTCACTGGATTATACTCCTTGAATGACATCTTCAAACCCTAATCTTTCCGATTACTACCTATACTCTTACTATCTCTACCACAATGGGATTTGAGTTGACAATTGTATCTGTGTGATAATGTGGTATGTCAACTTCAAGTGATGTACGTACGTACGAAGTTCTACGTTGCTACTGACTGATTGACTGACTGACTAAACTTTTGTAAACATATAATAGAAACACTCCCACTGGCACATTGTACATATAAATTTTTCCAATGTTAAAGAAAACATCACGATGGTATCATAGATGATCCAGATCGATATAAGATATTATTGTCATTTTTCTACATAAACCGTTTTTATTTACCATGGTACTATGAAAATACTCATTACAGCTATACAGAATGTATGCAGAGTAAATTACTTACTTACTTACTTACAACTGTTACTTCTCGTTGAGGAACGTAAGCAGCCCACTAACACTCTCCATACAACCCTGTCCTGGGTAACTCTTCCATTTCTTTCCAGTTGTTATTCATCCTTTTCATATCTGCTTCTTTTTCCCGACATAAATTTGCCGTAAATTACTCTTTTGTAATTTTCCAATGTTTTTGTTTTCTTTCTTTCTACTTTTAGTTAATTGTTGAACATTTGGATTTAGCTTGTTTAGAATCAATTCGTCATTTTGCTAAAAATATTTTAAGTCAATATACACGATTAGATATATTAATCCATAATGCTGGAATGATGGCTACTAGTTATATGGAAACACATGATGGATTTGAATTACAAATGGGTGTTAATCATTTAGGTCCTGTATTATTAACTGAATTATTATTACCATTATTATATAATGGTGCACCATCACGTATTATTGTAATTGCTTCAAATCTATATCAACAAGGTGATATTGATGTGAATAATTTAAATTTACGCGGTGAACAATATGGACCATTTAAAGCATATAATCAATCAAAATTAGCTAATGTTTTATATGTTCGTGAATTAGCTAAACAATTAGATGGTTTAAAAGTGATACCAATGGCTGTACATCCTGGTGCAGTAAGAACAGAAATATCAAATACAGGAGATCATAGATATCAGGTAAGAAAAAGAATATTAGGTAATTTATGTATATAATCATGAGTGTTTTTATTATTAAGGAGGTTGATTTTGAATACAGTGGTTTGGAGTGCTTTTAGAGGTATGAGGGCGATTATCAATTCCAGGTTGCTCACATCGTAGAACGGTTCTTCTGTAGGGACTTGAAAAGGAAATTGGGTTAGATGTGGTTTTAGTGACCTGAAAACATGACTACAGTGTCCAAGGAACAACTGCTTGAGGTCGGTCACACACAAATTTTGTGTTAGCTCCAAACTTATTGAGACCTAACCGCCGGAGACGGATATCCGTGGGTATTGGATGTTCATCTTCTTGTGCTAATGAGGTATGGCAACTTGGTCCGATGCACAAATGTGCCTGGTCCTACGCTGTAGCTGACTGACTGTGTTTAACATCAAGGAGATAACTGTTAAATAAAACTTCCTGAATATTTAGTAAACAACGTGATAACACTAAGTTAGAAATTTATCAAGTTATGAACTTATTAAAGTTAAAAATGTGTACTGTTTGATCTCAACTCACTTGTTTAATTCTATTGTACTTGTCATAAAACCTGAAGTTCCACAAAAATCTAGTCTTTGTGAGGTTATTGTTGTATTATTGTTGAGGTTTCTCAAACTAAAATAAAGGAAAGTTGTCTCATACTCCATGATTTTCAATGGTCTTCTCTAAAGGATGTTAGGCTGTAATGGAATCAGTCCTATCCACTTACAGCGCTTCTTCTTGATTTCTTCCTCCACTGGAATCTGACTTGTTCTCTCCCATAGTAGGTTGTTGCTGATAGTGTCTGGCCAACGGATCCGAATTATTTTGTGTAGACAGCTGTTAATAAACATTTGTATGTACTGGGTGATTGCTTTCGTAGTTGTCCAAGTTTCCGTCACACAGAGTAGAACTGTCTTGGCATTTGTATTGAAAATTCTGACCTTGGTGTTGGTTGACAGTTGCTTTGAGTTCCAGATGTTCCTCAGTTGTAAATATGCTGCTCTTGCTTTTCCTATCCTCGCCTTCACATCTGCATCAGATCCACCATGTTCTTCAATGATGCTGCCCAAATACGTAAAGGTTTTTACATCTTCCAAATCTTCTTCGTCAATTGTGATTTGATTGTTGCATGCTGTGTTTTATTGGAGAATCCTGCTTTTCCCTTTGTGCATATTGAGACCTACTGATGCTGAGGCTGCTGCTACACTGGTCGTTTTCTATTGCATTTGTTGTTGCGTTTGGGATAGAAGGGCCAGATCATCTGCGAAGTCCAGATCGTCCAGTTGCATCTTAGATATCCCCTGTATCCCGTGCTTTCCTTCAGACGTTGACGTCTTCATGACCCAGTCGATCACCAGGAGAAAGAGAAAGGGTGAGAGTAAGCAACCTTGCCTAACACCGGTCTTCACTTCGAACGACTTTGTCAACTGTCCTCTATGCACGATTTTACAGTGTAATCCATCATATGAACTCTGTATGATATTGACTATCTCCTGAGGCACGCTGTAGTGTCGAAGAACTTTCCATAGCGTTGTTCTATCCACGCTATCAAATGCTTTTTCGTAGTCAATGAAGTTGATGTAGAGTGATGAATTCCATTCAATTGATTGTTCCACAATGATCCGTAGGGTTGCGATTTGGTCTGTACACGATCTATCCTTACGGAATCCTGCCTGTTGGTCACGAAGTTGGGCGTCTACGCAGTCCTTCATCCTGTTTAACAATAGCCTGTTGAAGACTTTTCCCGGTATTGAGAGAAGAGTGATGCCCCTGTAGTTATCACACTTGCTGAGATCGCCTTTCTTCGGTATTTTGACCAGAAGTCCTTCTTTCCAGTCTGTTGGTACTTGTTCCTCATCCCAAATCTTATTGAAGAGAATGTGGAGTATTCTTGCAGTTGCCGCTACGTCTGCTTTCAGTGCCTCTGCTGGAATGTTTTTTGTTTCCGCTGCTTTGTCGCTCTTGCTTTGTGTGATGGCTGTGCTAATCTCTTGAATTTTTGGCGGCTAACACTGATTGGGAGGTCCGTGGGTGCTGCTTCGATGTTGAATGGATTCAGTGGGGCTGGTCGATTCGAGAGTTCTTTGAAGTAGTCTACCCACCTGTTTCGCTGTTCTTCGATGTTGCTGACTACTTTGCCGTCCCTGTTTTTCAGTGGTCGTTCTGGTTTGTGGTGATTTCCAGAGAGTTTCTGTGTTATGTCATACAGTTGTCTCATATTTCCTTCTCTTGCAGCAGAAAACTGAAAATAATGATCTTTTTTCAAGTGTTGGCAATAATTAAATTCGCTTGGTGTTGTTTACTTGTATCTTTCGTGGAGTAATCATCAACTCTGAGATGCAGGTATAGCCAGCTGACGAGTCCCAAATTAGGACGAAACGCGCGTCCTGGATTCCATTGTTAGCCACTATTCATCTTTGCTTATAAAGTTTGTGACTTAAGGCAATATCGAAACAAACCACACAGAATGTATATATGCCAACAAGAGAGTGATCAATTGCACTGTTAAACAACAATGAGAAGATAAAAGCAAACAACACCAAGTGAATGTAGACTTCACCTCATTACACAAGCGAATGTTTATCAGAGTTCAGTAGCTAGGTGGATAACGCGATGGGATTTAAAACGATCGGTATTTGGTTCGAGTCCTGGAGTGTATATGAAGTCTAGGATATAGATACATCTAGCTGATGAGTCCCAAATTAGGACGAAACACACGTCTTGGATTCCACTGCTAGTCACTATCCATTTTGGCTGACAACAATTATTTGCAATGGAAAATAATTGTTTTAGTTACGTTTCACTCCTTTTTATCTCATTTAATAAACAAATGATTCATTAAAAAAAGAACTATTCATGAGTGATATAGTTTAATTATTTCAATCTACATTTAACCTAGTCTATTTGTGTATGTTATGTAGATTGAAATTGCCATTGAAATGATTCCATTATAATGAAATTACATTGAGATAGATGTATATGTATATACAATACAAGTATACATAGTCATTGTAAAAGAATTCAGATTCGATAATGATCGATTACTGATTAACAATTCGAAAGATAAAATTAATCAACATAGTAATTGACAGTTATTGTAAAGAGATTACCATAATCAATCTTCTTTATTACTTCAATGGTATGTAGAGATACAATATAGTTAAATGTTTCGAATAAATTTTAGATAGTTTGAATGAATTACTCATATCATAACAATCTTATTATTACTATTATGATCATCATTATGATCGGTAGCTTATAATTAATCGGTAATAAATATGGTAATATCATAAATAATCTATTCAGTAGACCATAGGGTATATCATATTTGTTTTGTGTTTTTCTTTTTCTTTTTGATAGAAAAAATAAATTTAAACTGATTCAATAATGCAAACATATTGGTATAGTGTAATTTTTGTATATCATGCCAACTATGCGATAAATACAATTATGATTATACTAGTTGACATGACTAAATGAAACTAACTTTATATAGACACTAAACCACCAACTACTACGACGTGCAATGCTAACTAATGTTGGAGACGGTGGGAAGAAAGTTAGGGGCGGCCAAAACAAAACGTGGCATCAGTGCTTGAAGACACTAACTTCTAATCTTAGTCATGTTACGAGATGCAGACTACTTGGTTGGGGTCCGTGTGACTATCGTACCCAGTGCTTGGAGACTCTGTTTGACATAACTCAGAATCCATCACAATGGTGTCGGTGTATACACTCTCTGTCTTCCTTTAAACTATGAGATTAATATCGCTTTACATCTTTCTTTCTAGGAATTAATTCTTTCTTCCTGTATCATATCCTTATATGAAATGTTTTTTACTACCATAGAAGTAACTAATTCTATGAATCTGGTGTTTATGTTGTTGTGCTAATGCGGTATGGCAACTTGAACGGATGCATAAAAGTGCCTGGTCCTACGTTGTAGCTGACTGATTGAGAATAGTTCCTAAAGTGAGTAGAGTCCCGTTGATCACCTTGTTTATCATTTTATGATGTTCAAGGCGTTTATCAGAAAACTTTAAAGCTATGTTTCGTCTTTGATTACAATAGATAAAAACAGATTTTGCAGTCTTCATGGAACTGAGGCTTTACAATGGAGTTCCAACACAATAGTGAATATCCAATCTATATTTTGACTGATATGATCAGAATATTAATTCCAAAAGCTGTTCTATATGTTACTTGAAACCGCTCATTGTAACAGGTGGTTAATTATTATCTGAATAGTTCAGTGAAAAGTCTCTGATTAAAACTTAGTTTGGAATCCTATGACAAGTATTAGTTTCATTCAGAACAATAATACACCTAACTGACGAGTCTTGATTGACAAGAATTTATTTAGCACATTTATTTAGCACATAAATATTGTTACAGGGAAGCACCAAATACATATGCACCACACAAATCTCATTTCATATGTGTGAAGGCTGTGATACTGCCCGGGTGCCCAAACCGAAGCAAGTGGTTTTCTTAGGGAGCCACACACCGAGCCTTCGACATGAAGGTCTGATCCACAAGGCAGTGGAGCATCGTAAGGAGATGCAGTCCCATGGTAGCCGGTGACGAACAGTTCGTTCATACACCATTTGTTCCTTCAGGATACTGGAGCCCATGTGCACGATTGGTTTAGGATCCGGTTAAAGCGCCGGACATTCACTTTTCGTCCTCTCAATTTCGTAAACAACACCTCCGCCACGAGAAGGCAGTGAATAGGACTTTCCTGGCAGAGGCTGTATACGCATGGCCATGTGAGAGCATTTCGAGAGAGAGGGCGGATCACCCCACTCTCGGGTGGGGTCCTATTATTTTCTATACCAACTGTCTCTTACCACTCAATATCACAATATATAAATTAATTAAACCAAAATCAAATGTTGATTTACTTTTAACTTTTAGTTATTTCTACGTGCTGTTGGTATAAGTCCATGGGAAGGTGCACAAACTGCATTATATTGTACATTAATTAATGATCCAGTACCTGGTGGATATTATTCTAATTGTGAAAGAGAAGAATTAACTGAAAAAGCATTAAATGAATCACTTAGTAAAAAATTATGGGATGCATCACGTGAAATGGTTGGTTTACCACCGAATTTATTAAGTTTACCATAACAAGAAAAGAGAAAAAAAGAAAAAAATAATAATTCTCATAATTTTCTTTTCTTTTTTGTTCTCTTTCTTCTTCTTCTTCTTCTTCTTCTTCTTCTTCTTCTTCTTCTTCCTCTTCATATTTTGTTAACATTTTACGTTGGTTATTATTCATTAAAAGAATGTTTTTGTCACTTTTTTGTTTCACCCAATATGTACTCTTAACTTTAATAATAATAATATAATATAATAATTATTGATTTTTTTTGGTTACCTTATCAACAAAATGTATATTTCATTATTAACATTATCAATTATTACGTTTTTTATTATTATTATTATTATTATTGATTATTGATAATAAATAGTTTATAATAATAATTGACAATATTCAATGATGGTTTCTGTTTATTATATTCAATGTGTCAATCGAAATTCATTAGTTACCATGGTAACTACAATAATAATAATTATTATTATTATTATTATTATTGATACGAGATACAATAAAAGAATTTTGTCTTCTTCTTCTTCTTCTTCTTCTTCTTATTATTATTATTATTATTATTATTATTAATATTAATTCTACTCTGTATATCAACATTCTTTTTCTTTATTTAAGGTTGATAAGCAATAAATGAGTGAATGAGAACGTTTGTTTGGATATACAAAACAAGAATGAAAAGTAGTACAAACAAAAGAAAACAATCAATATTATTAAGTTTAGATAATCAACATTAGAATAAAAAAATTAGAAGATGATTGAATATTGTTAGATGATATAATGAATTTGCAGAGATATTAATTGCTCTGGTACGACCGAGAGTGGAGAGCATCCACTCCCCCCTCTTCAAATGTTCTCACATGGTCATGCATATACAATCACTGCCAAAGAAGTCCTACTCACTGCATTTTCGTGGCATTACTGTTGTTTACGAAATCGAGAGGACGAAAAGCGAATACCTAGCTTTTTAACCGGGTTGGTAGATACAGAGAGTCCACCTAAGGGAGATGGGAAACCCTGATTCCAAACCAATGCTTCCCCATGGGATTCAGAATTCTGAAGGGACAAATGGCGTATGGACCTATTATTGGTCACCGGCTATCATGATACTGCATCTTTCAATGTTGCTCCACTGCCTTGTGGATCAGACCATTAGCTTAAGGGCTCCGAGTGTGGCCCTCTAAGAAAACCACCTTCTTCGATTTGGGCATCCACGCAGTATCACAGCCCTCACACAAATCGAATGATTTATGTGGTGCACATCTATTTTTTGCCTCCTTATATCATTATTTATGTATTTAAATAAATTATATAAAAATAAACGAGAAAATCAACACTGAGCTCATAGGACATGGTAACATTTAAAATGGCCTTCAATGCAGTTTTGCTTTCTTTGATATTTAGTTTAGTTGACATATATAAATGTCAAATGTTACTCAATTGAATGTTTGATTACAACAGTATTATCTTAAACATTGATTTTAGTTAAGTTAGTTTATTTCATCATATTTTACAAATTACGATTTTTATTTAAGTAGTAACTAGGTAGCCTTAACGAATCTTCACTTATCATATGTTGCAAGCAGATGTTGAGAATAGTTCTAAACATAATTTGTATGCATATTTATTCAGTGTGGAAATAAAGGTTCCTGAAGATTTTCGATTTTCTTGCCCTGCATCCTCGTTTGATAAGCACTGGGAAGCGTGTCAGTCAGTCATTGGCAACGTTGAAGGTGTGTATTTATCGGTTCAAGTTGGCATGTCACCAAAGCTGGATGAAATTACCAAGACGAATTCTACAGTAATGGAAGTAGCATCAGTATACGAAGTATAATGAAGGAATAAGCTTAGACAAAATTATCCTAGAAAGAACGAGTCTTGGAATAGATATCGTAAGATAGTTTTAGAACTTAAGATCTACGGGATGGCAGATTTTGAATGATTGTGAGGCACGTCGTGAAACATATGAAACCATCAATCGCAATTATCATGTAGTATGCAGTCATATAGTCTGTATATGCCAGCATCACTCAAACCAACTGTCAGTAGCTTCATGAACTAATTATGTGCCTTCCTATGGCTACCCTAGCTTTCTTCCAACTAACTTCTACTCGAGTCAACTTCACGCATTGAAGTAGAAAGTAGCTGAACATACGCTACGCGCGTTCCTTAATCCTCGGTCAATGAAGATTCTTGTGTGTGGAAAACTGTGACTTACCTAGTAAGACTAGTAGATAGTCTGACAGGTTTTAAATGTGTTATATATTTCCCTACCTCTTGTTATTATTGCTACTTTCGGTTGTTGACTTTGAAATATGCTCAAGTTATAGTCAAGTCAGTCACGTGTTCTTGATCTTAGCTGTGTTGAAGTCCTGCCGAATGGACACTAGGAGGGTATCTATGGTGTATGCTACTTATTTTAACAGATATAAGTAGTATGCAATATCAATCATAAGTGGAATAACAGTAGAAGATTGGATCGAAGAGAACAGAAAAGGGAAACATATAGGAATAAAAATGAGAACCGAACTAGAAGATTAAAGAAGTACTTACAGGATATCTGAAAGACGATGCGCAAATAATGTATTTAATGTATGATTTTCATACATCGACATGATGAGACGATCAGATGCAAACCGAATGATCAATGGGAAATACTGACAAGTGTATACTATTAGTCGAAATTTGGCTTCAATTTCTGAGGAAATAGACATATGGTACTGGCTAAAAATTTAGGTAAGCACTTTAAAAGATATTTATCTGTAGTTATGAATGATTTAAGTACATATTTTTGATTCGATTACCTAATTACATGTTCCTACTCAATCTTCGTACGCCAGCTCAAGTATCTGGTTTGTGCATCTATGTAGTAAGAGTACGTATCAGTATCAGACTAAGACAACAGCAGAACACAACAAACACTCAGTTAGTCAGGTTCATAGACACAGACACACTACAAATCATCACAGTAAGAATAACTTGATTATTCCTATTCAGTCAGTCAGCTACAACGTAGCACTAGGCACATATATGCATCGGTTCAAGTTGCCATACCTCATTAACACAACAACATGAACACCAAATTCATAGAAGTAGTTAGTTCGGTGTTAGTAATATATAAAAGAAGGATTGCATATAAGGGTATAATACAGGAAGAAATAATTAGTTCGTAGAAAGAAAGATATGAAGCGATTTCAATCTCTCAATTTAAGGGAAGATAGAGAGTGTATACACCGACGCCATTGTGATCGATTCTGAGCCATGTCACCAAGAGTCCCCAATAATTGGTAACGATAGTCATGCGGACACCAACGAAGTAGTCTGCATCTACCAACATGACTAAGATTAGAAGTTAGTGACTTCAAGCACTGATGCCACGTTTTGGTTTGACCGCCCCCAACTTTCTTCCCACCGTCTCCAACATTAGTCTGCATTGCGCGTCATCGTAATCGGTGTTCAGGCATACGCAACACGTGGCCCAACCATCTCAGTCAATGAAGATTCACAACCTCATCAACTGATTTACCATCATTCCCTAATACCCGATTATTCTTATTAAGGTGAGTCAAACCATGTATTACAAATATAGAAACTGACAATATGAAAAGGATTTAGACCATAAAAGTAATTGGGTGTATTTTCTACAATAAAAACCAATACAGCATTATACAAAAAGTAGAAAAGGAGATTGTTTAATTAATTAGAATCCGTTCAAAGTTTCTAACTCAATGGTTGAATTACTCATGAAATGAATCATGGACTATACCTCCGAAATGGATAAGCTACTTCAAAAGAAAACAAAGTCTCAGCACAAAAAAACTTGTGATGAAGAATTAAAAATCGGAGGATATAAAATGGCAATCAAGAAAATGGATTAAAACACTGAATAAATAGGCAAATATTTAGGATTAGGAGTAAATTACAAAACAGAAACATTAGGTTTTAGATATACAAGCGTCATTACCACGCTACTGAATATTGATTAGTAGTATAATGAAATACATAAAAAAAGGGAAGGGTAGACAAGTCGAAGCCAAAAACCAGTTCAACTATAAATATTATTTCATTAAAACTGATTCATTGTCAGGATTCAACAAAAGTGTAATTAAAGTTTCAAATAATTTCAAACGAGATGAATTATTCGTCTTCAATGTTTCAATAAATTCATAACTGTTTATGGCATCAATATTACCATTATTCTTAGGATCAACATTGTATATTTGCTTTTCTAATAAATACGGATCATATTCAAAGTGAACACCACTTAAAATACCACAACCATTCCCTAATTTCGAACCAATAATAGCCGGTTTTCCATTATCCGAGCTGGGAAAAAAATGTATATACATATACATTTCACATTTATCGTAGGGCATAGGATCAAACTGGACAGGTTAAGCTAGTACCCGTCCCAGTCAGAAATGGATCAAATAATGAACTAAATCAATTATTCGTCACAGATATATCTCATTTCTAGTACCATTAAAATCAAGGAAAACTACATGTATATTTCGTTCCAATATGAGACTCATCAGTTCTTACTAATGACGCTATCAGCGATCAAGCCAGAGGATTTAAAGTCTTGTGAAAAATCCCTAGCTACTGGAACCACCAAGTTAACATGCACAGGAGCATTGATTTGAACTTTGCTTGATCATTATTATTTAAAAGGGCTCATTGTTATAGAATAAATCTAGAGGTTTTTTAGTGATATCAATTAGCAACTATAGCTCTGACTAGATTGGGGATTTCTTTAATCTTAGTATTGTGATGATATATATATCTATATCTTGAAATACGTTGAGTAATATCTCGAGTTAACTGACAGTTTCAACAATAAAATCACATTCACTAGAAGAGAATTGGATATGTCTACATCTGATACGAACATGGTCAAATTACAGCTCAAGTGATTTCATCATCTTTATTTATTATCATATCAGATTTTAGGAATCAGCAATGAACTAAATTTAATTCCGTGAATGTTCGTGAAACTAATCAGCAGTTCAAACTAAGTTGA